ATTTAAGTAAGAGAATGAATTTGTGGTTTTGTTTACTTTGTTACTGAGGGAAGGAGTAGTTTTAGACGTCCAGGTGAGATTAAACCATCTCTGATATCTCGGCCTCAGCTAGCAGCAACAAAAAAAAGTAATCAAAGGAAACAACCTTTTGCTCTCTGTAATGTTTATATTGTTTATCACATAACCCCAAGATTACAAAGACAATTTCTCAAGATAACCAACATATCAAAACACAGCATGGCTGTCCTCGGCCTAAATCCAAATCTATTTTTAGCCATTGATTAAAAGGTACCTCGTCAATTTGTTTTCAAGGACTGCCGTTAACGCCTTGTCTAAAACAGGTGATGTCTAAAAACACCACTGGATGAAAAATACAAGTAGTACCCTTATGCAGTCTGGCAAGTGAAGTTAACAAGGTTACAAAATATAACAGAAAGTGGGAGGAATACAGGGTCCACATTTGTTGCCCTTGGGACCATTTGCAGGTTAATCTCACCCCTGTTTCCTACAATACTGTAAATGTCACAGATTGATTTGGAACAGTACCATTGCATTTTTTTTAACATAATCTTACGATCAAATTAAGTGATTATAAACTAAAACTTTTTCATGGTAAAAGATAGAGCATAAAGTTAATGAATCAGACATAAAGTATTGTTTAGAATCTAAAAACCACATCTATTCTATCAAGAACCTGACCTTAAGTGAATCTATTGTGGGCAGCTCCTCAGAAACACACAAGATAGAGATAAAGATATTGTTTTTAGTTTCATAAAAGGAAAGCAATGACACATAACCATAGAACGTATCAAAATAGCAGATATGTGACTTTGAAAGGAAGTAGTGTGCAGTTTACAAGAAAACTCATCTGCCTGGTTCCTGTGGTTTAGGTGTTGATGTCTGCCTCCACCATGACAGTTCTTCTCATCGGCAGACAAATATGTGTTGGTGTATGTGTGCGCACACACACACACTCATATTATATTACAAATACCAAAACCGACTCAATGAAATTGCAAGTAAATTTATGTTTGAGATTAAATTCTGCACATGTTAAATCTGTCATACAGTAACATTACATTTAAATAAGAGTACAACTGTGCATGCACAAAACCACCTTGGCTTTTTTTGCTCTTTAGAAAAGAAAAATGAAAACTCAAGTTGTCTAAGAGCCAGAGATATGGTTCAAAGGCCTCACACAGAGTCATGTGAAGATAACGTAGGTGATTCCCTGCTCAGTATTCAGGTTAAAAGTCCATCAAGACCTCTAGCAGCAAAGAAAACAAAAACAAAACAGGATCAGATACAAAACAACCTGAAACAAGATGTGATGCTTGGGGAAAGTGACAGACAAAACAAACGTGTTCCATACGCTGGTTTTGCAGAACAAACCACCCCCATGGCGTCTGTCATTTTAAACCACTGCTGATGGAGAAGGGAGGAGGAAAGCTGGTTTTGCTGTAAATGGAGAGAGCCTTACAGTTATTCAACCATTTTAGAGAAGGATTTGAAAACGTGTGAAAGGCTGTGAGGCCATTTCTACTTACTTGAACATTTTTTCTTTCAAAGACGGCTCTAGAGAGGAATAAGAGGAGACATGTATGAAACTATCATATTTATCAAACTCTAAATGTAGGCTGACAACCCCATCAGCATGTACATACATATTTTTGAAAATGTTCTGCAAAAAATACTGAACGCATGCAGACAGTTTTGATTTATTCCTGTAGTTTTTGAGATAGGCTATCTGTCACCAAGGAATTAGCTGTAGCTTAAAAGATATTTCAGCAACTTTGGATTTATTATCAGAGTAAGTCAGACGATTCCTTGCGTAGAAAAGTATTTCAAAGAAGTGTTCACAGAGTCCTTGTGTTTTTTTTCAGGGTAACAAGGTCCTTGACTTTTGCAGTTGGACTGAATAACAAGTTTCATTCATCTCCACTGTTTTAATTTGTATGTAAAACATTTTCAGATAAAATGAAAACTATCTGCATGACTCAAACCACCAGGGATGCTTTTTTAATACATTTCTGGTGGTGAACTGATTCATTAAAGCGTCACTCACTCTTCTTCTTGCAGCAGTTTTTGCATTTTTTACATTTGTACTTGAAGCAGAATTGGAATATGGCTATGGTGAATAGGATCGCCAGAATTCCAAAGCCGACAGCGATGCCGACTGCGTTTGGGTTTACCCTGCTCCCTGGGGAGAAAAAATGAAGAGAAGTACAGTGATTAGTTTGGGCCATAGCTTTAAATATAAAAATCATCATACAAGCATTTGAATTACATTAAACAAGCTAGCTGAAACACAAAAGGTTCTTCTTGAATTTTTCAGGGTATGTTTTCCTAACAGAAGTGAGTACCGACTAAACCAGCAGTCCGTCTGGCTGCCTGGGACTAACAGGATCAATATGTACTCGGTATGTTCATTATGAATGAAAATTCACTCTGATGAAATGAGATTGGAAAATCAATCTCTCGCAGATATGCTGGCTATGCTTTCATTAACAGACTTCACAGAGACACTGAAATGTCAGTGCAGGGTGCTACAGATTAAAATACAGCTCATGCATGACGCAAACAGCTGACATCTAAATCAGATTGTCATTTTCTTTGCTAACTTTCAAACAATCAGAACAAAAGAAACTCTTTTCCAGTAAAGCTTTTAAATTTGATTTCGTTCTACAATAGTACACTTGGGCTGTTGTATCTTTAGGACTCTGTATGTTTTACGATATAAGCTGCTGGCTGACAAAAAAAGAGCTATTTATAGTTCCACGGTAAAATAATTGTAGGTAGAAACCCAAGACAATTATACCAGCTAAGCATTTACAGTCACTGAATCCAAAGCAGCAAAAAGACAGCAGTGCTTTAAAAGAACAAGTCATTGTGTAGAACTTTGATTCTGAATAACTATGCAGAAACATGTTCTAGTCGTTTGTTCACGTCACTCTTACAGTAAACAATTAAAAAGAAAAATCTCAGCTGTGAGACTCTTACCACCATTCCCCATCGTTGACTTGCCAGGGTGACCTGTGTTATCTCCTATCCGTCTTCTCCTTTCCTCCCAGACCACTTGATGCTCAGCTGTTGATCTTTTACTTCACTTCAAGTCCGTCTTTGGTAAATACTTTGTCTCAATGGTGAAGGATCAAAACAGAGAACTCTCACGTCTTCCTTCATTGCCTTCATCTGCTTATCCACATCCCCATACCAGTCATTCTTTTAAACCTGTTCATCTTCTTTCTTCCCTCTTACCTTTTGTTCTCCACACGTCATTAGCAAACTTTAGCACAAAGTGGCTGATTGGCTGATGTTCTCACATGGACTGTCATGCTTCACGACTCTCAATAAAAACATTGGAGTACTTTCATACTAAGATATCCAGCTTACAGTGTGGCTGTCTCACTGAGACTTGGACACAATCAGAAACTCTTCAACATTCTGGTCTGCTCAGGCCTCGCACAGACCTTCAGACTGCAGCGACATCAGGAAGGAACTTTCTTTTGTCCCTCAGGGTCACATGGCTCCAATGACAGCCTCCCTCTCTGAAAATCATTATCTCACATCCAGGTGATCACACCTAGATAGAGTGGTGCATGAAGCCTCCTTCTGGACGGCTAAGACATTGCAACTCCTCATAATCATTCAATTAACAATGCAGTTTATATATGGGCTTTTTAAACGCCTTTGAGTTGATGTATCAATGTATTTGAAAAGCTTTTTTACATCTCAGTTGTCACCACTTATTATAAAGACTTTATCTGTTCCCAGCAGAGGAAAGTTTCCTTCTAATTAACCAGTGTGGGCGATTCATATTCTGAACATTGCACATCAGACCACAGATCATGAACCACAGCAAGGTTTTGAAAGCTGCACAGTGGGTTTTTATCTACCCTTCATCTACTACCATGAATCTGATGTGGCGACTCTCTCTTATGAGTAACTCCTCGTATTGATCAGAACTAACAGATGCCCCTAGAGTTTGGAGAAAATTAAAGTCAAGTTCAAGTAAAGTCAGATTCAAGTTCCTGCCTCCATAACGTCCACCAACTCAGCTCCATAGAAGCCTTATCAATGGATCCAAGTTTAAATATATTTAAGCTCCTGAGAGGAACTTTCCATTTGTAATGATCTGGCAACTTCCTGTGCACAAAGCATTACTTCTTATTAATTTGTTAATCCTGTCCTTATGTAGTATGACGATGAAGCATCTGTTGAACATTTGGCTCTAAATTAAAAAAGCTGAATGAACTGCTAATGTAAACAAAGGAAAAGGGGGAGACTTAGTGTATGTGTAGTTGAAATGAAAAAGCATTTAATCAATTTGGGTCCATGTCTTTATGAGGTGAATGGAAACAGCAAGGAGAGAAAAGATATTTACGGGAAATCTGTTGAATTACTGGTAAATGTCGTATGAAATTACGAGGAAACAGTTACAATTGTTTCCATCACACGACGCGGAGAGAGGCGTGAGGCGTCACTGATCCTTTTTAACAGTGATCAAGAAAATGAAACCTCATCAGGCCCTTTATATGATGATATCCCATATCACTTTGTAGTCTTTTTATGTTGTATAACAAGTGATACACATTTCCCAGCAGAAATCACATGAGCTTCCTGTTACTTTTACACTAATCATTGAATGTGGTTAGTGAGGTGAGGCGGGTGTAAAAACAAAAGGTGTTTGGTTTTCTAAAAGAAAGACACAAAGGACTGGGATCAGGAAAACTTGTGTTGCCATTTGTCTTAATATCGCTTTGTATGATTTTTTAATATTTGAGCTTTAAACACAATTATGTCCATTTTCTTAATCTATCTTTAATAAATCATAAACTGATCTTTGAGCATTTGAGTCATTCTTCATTTGGATTCTAATTTGTCCGAACAAAAGTTTTTTAATATGTCTATTAGTATACAACATGAGACTATAGGACACATTCCTTGGCGTACAGGTAACCTTACGATGTTAATCATTAACCAGGTCGTTTCAAAACTGCACGTCCTTTCTCAGGCTGGATATCAAGTTTCACAAATTACACACCTGTGTGGACAAAAGAGTTTGGGTGCCTCAACTAGAAGGGAGACCTTAGTTTAGTGGCTTTGACGGTAAATTGTGGTGCTCGTGTGTGTGTGTGTGTGACAGAGAGAGAGAGAGAGAGAGAAACTGATATAAAAGGAGGTCACAGATGTGGGATGAAGGAACTATGAAATACGTTTCCAGTTCAAGCAATTGAGGTCGGCTGAAGAAACTGAAGAAAGATGCTGACTTTCTGACAGCAGGAAACTTGTTTTCCCCCCAACCTTCAGATGCTTTCATTGAACGCTGCTTTACAGGTGAGGAAGAGTGAGCTGATATAAGGAATGATTTCTGTGTGTGTTATCGCAAATCCATTTTTCTTCATATCCTTGACTAACAGTTTCCTAAATAAGTCATGTGTGTCTTTAATCACATTTCTGAAACAAAATAAGTATATTAATGGTGAAAACAGGAAGGTTTCACAGAGATATCCATGAATGTAATGAACCATTGAGTTGCTGTGTTGCACAGTCAGCTAACTAAAGAACTTTGAACCGTTTTAAATCAAATCTTCAACTTAATGATAAGGATAAGGATTCAAAAGGCCTTTCAGGAATGGTACAGATTTTAAATGTGTCAGCCTGACATTTCTTAATGTTTGAATCCTTATCTTCCTGAAATGTAAAAATCTACTGACAACCCTCCACCGTCTTATGAGAAGTTAAAAAGAAAAATCCGGCCTTTATGTTTAGTCAAAAACATCTATTTTAATTTAGTACGCTTTTATACTGGTATAAAGTAGAGTTTTATATGTTCATGCTCCTTTGTATTTGCTAAAAAATAGCCTTATAATGAAATGAAATGCTTCAGCATGATCACAGATTTCACTCTGAGATCCATGTATTGTTTTTAAGTGTTTTTGGACAAAGTGTGAATATGCTGCATTGTTTGCACAACAATGAGAAGCTAAGGGGTTTCTACATTTACAACGATGCTTGAGAAAAAAAGTAACCAAGGTAGTGCCATCTTAGTGTAGTTCACTTAGTTGGCACAATTTCCTTCTTACAATGTGCCAGCTAAAATCATAGCTATAGCGATATATATCTGTTAATATGTAACCCATCTGGACCATAAACTGACAACTCAGCAGTCTGTTTTTTACACCCAGTTACATCATGTGCTCACAAAAGGCAACAGGCGTTTTCATTAACAAAGAAATTAAGAATATATATCGTATGTAATTCATTATTCTGAGAGATGTTATGTTTGGTTGCCGTGCTATGAGAGCTGATGGGATTATGCAGGAAATGAAGCAGAGTAACTCAACAGAACAATAAACACCTCGCAGCAAACAAGGGCGTACAATAGATTATTTTTGGATGTCTGAATTGCTTTCATCTTCTCTTTAATAGCATTAACAAACATCATGTCGGCCATTGTTTAACCAAATCTGACAGGATAAAAGTACTAGTGACTATATAATATTTATTTGATCTATAGCTTAAACTGTGAGGGAGATTTTTTTGTTAAGCCCTTTCATTTTTAGTGACATGATGTTGACACTTTGACTCATGGCTCAGTGAAAGAAATTAATTTGCTAGATGACATACCAGGGTGTAACCTCTGAAATGTGTTGCCACCTGTATGGTAACCTGGATGTGTAATAAGATTAACACAGGTTACTGGCAAAACATTTAACCTGCCTATCTGGATAGTATTCGAGTTATAAAACAGGTACGTTTTATAATCGGGAAAAGGTTAAGAGAGAGCTCTGAGGTTCACTGAATTAAATTGTCCAGGTCAAGCACCACAAACTGCTGCTGCTGTTCTAACAATGGCTCTTTCTCCTCCGCCAATCTTATCAGTCTTTTTTTTTTTTTTTCTCACACTCCAAAGTAACCCCCAGCCCTTTATCTCTGCTCAGTGTCCCATAACATCCATGGTGGCTTAATTTATAGAAGTACTGACCTACTGACCATGGTGGTCATTGATTGAACCTTTAAAAGGTCATTTGAGACAATATCAATTACGTGCGAGAAAAAATGGCTCCTCTATTGTTTTCCATGATTTGATTAGTTCAGGCATATTTGTAATATTGCTGTGTTCACAATCCAATCAGTGATGTCAAAACCGATCATTTATCAGAGCCAGAGACTTTTCTGGCAATGTAAAAATATAACTTAAGGGGCGCAGATAGACTTGTGGTTAGTTCACGCACCCCATGTACAGAGGCTATAATCCTCCAAGCGGACGGCCAGGGTTCAAATCTGATCTGTGACTCCTTTCCAACATGTCCCACTCTCTCTCACTCTCTCCCCGATTTCTGACCCTATCCACTGTCCCATCTCTCTACTAAAGCCACAAAAATGAACCATTAAAACTATAATTTAATATCCGTTTCTGAATAGATTACTCATAAGAGATGTTCAGACATGTTTTTTCTCCTGAAACTGGTTCTGATACCTAAACTTGAATATTGGCTTATACCCAGTAACCCTCAGTTACCAGTGCCAGTAGTGTGGTTAGTGCCCGTGCCCCATGTACAGAGGCTAAATAAAGCAAAACATGATTTATAAGCATTTTTAAAAGCAGTTTAAAATATTACCCAATAAGAACAAGTTCGACTAAAATGTTCATTGTACTCCCAGCTAACAAACTGTTGTTGTTTCTTATTTTCATATAATATTGTACCTGAAACTGATTGAATTTTGGAAGGATAATCAATTATGGTATTGTTGCATTGACAGGCATAATTCCCAATTCTGCATTTTAGGCGGTATCAAAGGCTTGTGTCAGTATTAGAACAACTCTGTGGTGGTTTGTGATAATATAATTTCAGCCACCCATTAGTCCACCTGTTTCGTCCAGCCTAAAATGTAGCTTTTGATGGATTTATAGGACATCTTGTTTCACAGTTTTGATTTTCAGTTACAAATTATACTAGCTTTTGGATAGAGTGCTGTGAAAATACAAACATTCATGCTCTTCTCAGGATGAATTAGAATTAATGCATATATACTCTTTCTGGTAATTTGTTGGATACAAAGAAAATGCCACATTCATATCCACCTTATCTATACTGAACTATAGGGCTTTTATCAAATGTTAAAGTGCTTATACGCCACGCTAAGATGGCTTGTATGGTAAACATTATCTGATTAAAATAGCTGCATTAAATCATTGTCATTGCAGTTGTTAGTAATACACTTAAAGCAGCACTAATAGTCTAAAAGTCTCACAGCCGCTGTGGATATCTGTAAGTCACTGGGTGGATTTGTCATTTTCCTCTAATGCTAACGCTAAAACGTAGCATGATGTGAGTCACAGTCTGATGTCAGAGACAACCTCCTGACTGATACCAACTGACTGTCAAAACAAAACAGGTATACACAACCCACACCTCCGCCTCAGGGCGACTGCGTGCACACACACACACACACACAACAGCACTGTTAGCTTCATGTTACATCTGGACTTTAAATGTACAACTCTGGGTTTATGCATATATTGGAGATGTTTTTATTGGTGTATTTTTTTGTATAGCATAACAGGCAAAGAGGCTGTGAAAGACAGTTCAGGAGAATGAGACAAAAGGCCTCCCAAAATAAGAGCTTTTATGTTTTGTGTCCAGAGGGTTACAAAGTAGTAAGTGGGAGGATGTGTGGGAGGAGGGACAAACCTGACAGAGGCACACAGGTATGGAGAGACAGAGAACCAGAGGTAGAGGAGGGTTCAAGTGTCAGGTTACATGGACTATTTGAGGTCTGTTTTGTTTTGAAGAGCAAGGGCTTGGTCAGCCAAAACAGCTTTCTCTGAATCTGCGGAGCATCTAAACACAACGCTACCCTCCAGAGCTCTTTATTACAGCACTTGGGTTTCAAAGAGGGGGCAGGCCCAACACCCTTTAAGACGGATTCAGTTACACTGCTGAAGAAAGAAAAAGGGCGAGAGAGAGAAAGAACCATACCACAAAGAATTGTGGTAGAAAGCCAGTGGAGAAGGACGCACCGGGGGATAGTGAGTGAATTTCAGAGGAGTCCCACCTCCAGGGAGGGAGGGAAGTGTTTACTCTGTGCTCCGTGTTCCGTTGGCTGCATCTAGGCCTTTTTTAAGAAAGACAACTACATCATGTGGGTGAGTACAACTGAAGTCAAATCAAAAAAATATTCACTGAGAGGATAGCAAGTTAGGACACAGATTTGCATTGGAGGGGCCAGTTGAATATCATTTGACTGATAAAACTGGTGATTGCTGTAACTTTGATATGTACTTTCATACTAAATCTGTACTGTGTGTTTGCTAACTTCTGCTAAAGCAGTCCTGCAGTGAACTGGCTCATAACACCAGCCATGTTTTGCATGTTGGAAAAGGGATCTCAGACTAAAAGGGGAACATCCTTGTGCTTCATGTACTGTATCATACCAAAGTGTGTGATCCGGGGCAGCTTCTGGTGCAGGTATGAGCAGGTTCTTAGTCCAACTGCTTCTCAATGCCTTAGCTTGATTTGTGTGGATATAGTTTGATTGATACAGCTGCAATACAATCTAAATTGATTAATGGAAACATCTTTTGCTTCTACAATTAGTAGCAACTGTTTTTTCAAGTCATCTTTAACCTTAAATCTGATTCAATATGTTCGATATCGGATGCCTAAGTATTAAGTATGGAGAAAATTAAGCAGTTCAGCCCACAGCCCCTGAAGCTTTTCCAAGAAGTATAGAAGAGACACTGATTTCCAACGTGAAACTGCTTGACTGGGTGTTTTTAGGTTGTTTTAATGTTTATTTTGTAGAGGAACTAACCATTGTGGTCATTTTGGCTCCTAAAAAAAATATCTAAAACTTTGTCCATGGAAGGAATCCTTATAGAAAGTCAAGCCACGTATTTAGATACATAGGCAGTGGTTCAGTTTTAGCTCCTGTGTGTACGTACTTATGTGAGAGCAGGGGGTCAACACTATCAGGTGTGCACTACTGCCCATTTAAATGTGTATAAGCTCTTTTCTGCCACTATATGTCTAATCATGTGTGGTCTGCACTGGTCTAGATCTGTGCTTGCGATTAAAGCTCCACCAACATGTCACTAGCCGTTTCTTAAAAGCCCTTTTGTCAAAGATTCAGTTGAGAGGAACATGATCCAAAGAAGCGGAGAAGCTGCGAGGGTAACACCTCCTTTAAACAAAAGGTTCACAGTGTCACTGTTTTATCTGTAAAGATGACCCAGTTATGCTTTGTGGCTGGAGCAGGAGAGGAAGCAGTACACACAGATCCGTATGTATCCCCATATCAGTCTGACTTGGTCCTGCTTTGCTTATAGCATCAGATTGTTTTACAATGTTGGCAAGTAAAACGGTTTATCGTAGTCATGGTAACAATAACGATGTTAACGTTTCCCAGCAGTAACTATGATCATGTCATGACTAAACAGGACTCCATTATTGAATCTCTTTTGCCATTTTTCTGGTTTGCCAGGTTTTTTGCTCTCTCATTCCTCTAGCCTTTAATCTCATCATTATTCATAGTACATAATAAGGCAAGGTGTTGTTGACCTAATTTCTGCATTGTTGTTTTTTCACTAAGGTGTTGGTCAGCCGGTATTATGATGAGTAATTGATTGTTTGGCGGACTTTTGTTTATTAATAGTTTACACAGATATCACCACTGTGGAGGTTTCTGATAGTTTGTATCAATAAAATAAAAGAAGTTTTAAAAAAACTATAGGGAGAAAAAAAAGAGCAGAATCAACAAGCAAGGAAGTATCAAAAAACACTGTAACAGTGTCACGACATTCATGAAGCTTTCCCTGCTCTGGAGGGGTGAGAAATGTTAGCGGAGAGGAAAAGGACGAAAGAGTTTCTCAACTAATACAGGAAACAAACAACAAATGCCATCATGTTTCTACATCATTCTGACCATTTGAGGTATGATAAGCACTCTTTAATGTTTTTTTTATCTCTTTAACTCTCTTTCTACAATGAAATAATAGAACATGACCTTAGCATTAGTGCTAACCTGCTTATTTGAATAACTTGTTTGTACAGCAGTTTTGCATAGGGTTAAGCAACATATGGATGACGTGATGTGATTTTGAACAAAACGTGAACCACAACATGAGAGCAAGCTAAACACAGTTTGAATCAGACTCTTCAGGTATTGATAAATACAACGTACAGAAATGAGTGAAGGGACAATGCTGGCCCTGATAACGTGGGTGAACATGGTTGCAGTTCATCAGTGATCCCAACAGATAAAAATGCTAAATGTAACCAGAAGTATTTGTTTATTTATTTATTTCCCTGTAACATATATTTCTATACTTTCTAACACTGTGCCAATCCAAACACTGAAATGTACTGTTAGTTCATTATTGTTGTTGTAAGGGGGTTGGCTTTTTCATTACATTGTGAAGTAATAGGAAGCAACACTTAGGTAGATTGTTTAATCTTTAATGGGGTTGTGGTCTGTAAGGTTTTTTGAAACCTGTATACTAGTTAATGAAAAGGGAATTTGTTTGCCAATTTAATTGAAATCCAGAAAATATGCATTTGATTCAGATGAATCCAGGTTTTACTTCTTGTTACATGAAGTTAAAAAGCATAAAGCTATAAAGTTATTATATGATGCAAGTTTAGTTTTTTTTATTACCATTGACTACAATACTTCAATTTAACACTCTGCGTTTCAATGAAGAGAAATCTTTGAGATCCGTGACAAAACTACCAAAAGACTTAAGAACAAGGTGTGCTGGTGTTTGACGTATGTACTTTTCAAGATACATGATGACCATGAGAAGTTCTGGCTTATATAAGAGTGTCTGATGTTTCTAGGTCAGTATAGTTGATTCATAGTAGTGAGCTCCAAAAAAAACCTGTCCAACAACATTCTTCCCTGCCTCTTCTTAAAGTCTATACTTCTGTCTTGTCCCTTACACTCAACGACTGCATCAAAACCTACCATCAAACTTCATTTTAGACAATTTAATTCAGGAACTGCAGCCAAGTGTGGCATAAACATGCACACAGGGACTTCCCCCTATAATCAAAAAGAAGAAGTGTGTGATAGTGCTCAGTTTCAGCTGTTTTGTTTAGCTATGGTTCAGGAAATTCAACGTTTATGTATCAAATATTCAACAGACAAAGGAAGAACAGCAGGTATTTCAAACAATCAGTCAGTAACTGTATAGCCTACGAGCTGCTGAAACGTCTGCTTACAGCAAGCTTCCATAGTCATGTGAAAGCTAAGATACATGATGAGCTAGACTCCACTGTGATGAAGAAAAGCAAACATGCAGGACAATCTGTCAACTGAGAGAGATGAAATAAGAGTATAACAATTCCAGTGCCACAAAACAGATGATCTCTTAAGAGCTATTCTAATATAATGGTAAACAATAATAATGTATCAGCAGATAGGGGGGTTGTCGATATTAAGTAGTATTGCATATTTTCAATGCAAATTTGCAATATTTTAGAAGGCAAATATTTATTACACAGAAATAGTTGAATAACACCTCTGGTGAATATCACTCCATAAGTGGCTTATCCTTTCATAACCCACTGTTCCTCTGAGTGGATTACTGCAAAATGGTAAGTTTCGGGAAACCAAAACTACTTGAACCTTTGGGAAAAGATCATGGTTTGGGCCAACATATTTTCTATAGGCCTCATAAATTCATATCAGAACCCAGATCATCCCACATCTGAGAAGATGTTTTTTTGTTCGACAAAATAAAGTTAAACACATTTTACATATTCCAGCCCAATATTTTCCATTTTAACAACTTGTTTGACAGTCGAGTAAGTCTTTCAAAAAATGTTGAGGAATCTAGTCTCTGTGTGAAGTTACAGTTAGCTGAAGTTGGTTGGCCTGCCAGGTGTGAAATATTGTTCACATGCAGCAGGCATGCTAAAAAAAAAATCTACTGTAGGCCTTTACAAGATGCTGAGTACCAACAACAGACAAACACAGTTGGCAGGTGGATGCAGTGGATCATCTAGCACAGGGATGGGCAAATTTGGTCACAGCGAGGGCCACATTCATTTAATTGTCACTGCCAGGGGGCCAAATTGTAGGATACAAAAACAATTACAGTCAATAATGTCTCCAATTTAACTCAACATATACCAGTGATCAAATATTATTATGGACATATTTCTGGTTTTCATGATTTCATGGCAGATTTTGTCATGTTATTCTTCATGTTTCCAATTATTTGATATGTAAACATTGACCCGAGTTCCACCCCCGGGCTGCCAGTTGCCCACCCCTGATCTAGCAGCTAAAGAGAGCCTGAAAACAGAACTAAAGACTGAGGGTGTGAAAGAGGATACTGCTCTGCTGAGTGTGTAAATAAGCAGCAGATATCAGCTTTTTGTTTATAACTTTCTACTGCCCTAAAGTTACCTATAACCCCTAAATATGTACTTATTTCACAAACTGTCAAAGTGAGTTGCCTATAAACAACGACAGAGGAAATAAATAAACATTTTCGAATCCTGTTTTTCATGGACACATGCTTGAAAAAAAAAAAAAAAGACATACAAAGTAAGCTCCGGTTTCGGCAGTAGGCCTACCTGACCGTCAACAACACCGGCTGCACCTTAACGTCCAGACCAGTCCTCTCAGTGAAACGGTGACATTTACGCACACACACCCACAGCATCCAACTCTGAAAAACATAAACTTAACGTAAATGTTGGCTGACCAGCAAACTGGCAGATAAAAGCCAACTAGTCTACTCACCTGTTTTGGTCGCAGCTAACCGAATCCGACGTCAAAGTCGCCCTCCTCTCTCGGAAAACGCATCGTCAAAGCTCCTGGTAAGACAGAAACAGTAGCCTATGCCTACGAAGCGTTACTAAGACCATATGGACTACTTTAACTACCTAAGTAAGGTCGTCAATCCCACATTGCTACATTCAAATGAACTGACATGAGTAATTCATCTGGGCCCAGTCAAAGTGTGTTACCTGTGGTTACATGCTGCAGAACTGGAAAAAAGACCTATGTGGCTTTGTGGGGAGCTATCCACAGAGTTTGCAGATTCAAAGTAAACAGCATATTCGTATAAAACTTACATTAGGATTAGTAGTTTTAGATGCAAGCACACTCATGTACTGGAGTTTCTGCTCAATAATTGGTCATCACTGATGATCAGTGAAATATAATGTAGCCCTAACTGTTAAAGGAGTGAAATGGATCATGGCCTTACCTACCTATTGGATGCATGGACGCTTTTACCTTTTCCCAGCTTCCCATCTGGTAACTGTTCAAATCACATAACCTGAAACCTATAGTCTCTCTACCATCATGTCATGTCACTCTATCATGTGCCTAATCGTTGGGATGATTCTCATTGTAAAATGTTGAATAGTTTAGCTCCTTCGCCCTTTGTGAACCCTGTCTTTGGGATATCTTTCCCTTCTATTGAATTCTAGGTAATTTCCTTTGTAATTTTTCCTACACAATACTGACTGCAATGTACTGTACACAGTTGCGCAACTGGGAAACAACTGATACCTTGCCTTAGGATACTTCAGGTTTATGGCTCCTGTGGTTGAAGGGTGGACACCATCGCGACCTCCATGAGAAATAACATTGTGTTCCCCCTACGCCATATCAGTTGCATTTGAATGGGAGCCTGACTGGGTCCCAATAGACCAGCAGCCACACAACAGTCCACAGTACTGTATGTTCAGTCTGTCATTTTCACAGTGGGGGGGGGGGGGGTCTGTCTGGAAACAGATTATAGGAGGAGCCTGCTGCATATAGAGTGTCTTACATTTACAAGGAGCGTAGGTGTAAGGTGACAATTCCTATCAACTCCTTCATAATCTATAATTCTACTGAGGAAAAGCATTATATTATGTAGCTGATTTTACATGGATCAAGTTTTCTATTACTTGCATTTTTGGATATATTGAAGGATAGCCACATATTTAAACAATATCAATTGCGGCTGTCGTCTCGGGGCGGGCGGCCCGGGTTCACGTCCCACCCGTGGCTTCTTTCCCGCGTGTCGTTCCCCGCTCTCTCTCCCTGGTTTCCGACTCTGTCCACTGTCCTGTCTCTCCATTGGAGGCACAAAAAGCCCAAAAATAAAAAATCTTTTAAACTGTATTTTTTCTCATCCCACCCAGTGCACACTGTTGTTTTGACGCCTTTGCTCATTTAGCTGTATCTCTGTTACTCTTTCCTCAGACGACTGTCCAGGTGCCTGAGGAAAACGTTAGACCGCTGAATCCAAGGCAGGCAGGTAAGCTGTCCTTTTTTCCCCTCTGCTGTATTCCTTTTCTAATGTATCATTATCTATGTTTTTTTATTCATTGCTTCTGTTTGCTCTCTGTCACTCCCAGTGGTTCCGAGACCGGGCCGCCACAGAAGGCCCATGACGGCCCCAAAGACTCAGAAGGAAAAGGCGTCTAAAAGGAAGAAAGTGTTACTGACTATCCTAACAGTTGTGGTGTTACTGGGCATACTGGCCACTGCGGCATTCTTCAGTGAGTCACAATTTCTTAAGTTAGCTTTTCCCTTTATGGACACACGCACGCACCACAGGGGTGGCTTCACATTTCAATTAGCTGTCACTGCTTCGATAACAGAGGAACATGTTCTGTGATGGTGTCAAGTCAATGACAGGATTCAGTCGACCAAAGAAACCGTCTTTCTAATTTGTGTTCTCGCTTTTCTTCCACTGTGCCACTCCTTTTCCCACCAGTAAAGAATCTGATTGACAGCAAATACTTCTTCTGCAAGCGTTCTTTTAAGTTCATCCCGTTGAGCAAAGCCTGTGATGGCAAACATGACTGCACAGGAGGGGAGGATGAAATAACTTGTGTGTCAAGCTTTAAAGCCAACACAACCTTTCCAGGTAAATAGATCACCGGACTCTTTCTTACTTTGTCATCACAGACACAGCTTTAAAAAAAAAAAAAAAAAGGCTCGCTTTCTCTTATGTCTATCGTTTCTCCTTACAGTGCGTCTCACGTCAAGTCGGCATGTCCTGCAGGTGTACAGTGCCGGCACCGGTTGGCGTAGTGTGTGTAGTGACGACTGGACCGAGCAGCACACACAGACAGCATGTAAACAGCTGGGATACACAAAGTGAGCTGACACCAACTAAGAATGATTGCACAGTAAAAGCTGAAAGCAAGTCTCACATGTTCCCCTTTCTGTGTTAACAGTAAACCTAAAAGCACCAGTGTCCCAGTGAACACCTTGCTGTCGTCCATGAAAGCTGGACCATTCACAGCTGTCCGTCCTAAAACTACAAGCACACCTTTACATCAGGCTACCATTGACCGGTGAGTCCAACAATTGACATGAAAAAAACTCTACAGTTCATGACTGCATTTGTCATATCGTATATCTGATTTCAGCCATACAGTCAGTGGTGTTCAGGACAATCTTACTGTTCCAAGATCAACAAAGACACCTTATATTTCTCAAACCTCTTTTATATTTCTCTGTATAATTTTCAACTCTACTCTCTCTTTCTGTTTCATCTTCAAGCTTTTGCTCTCCTTTTTGTACAAATCAGACTGTGTGTGTGTTTTTTTCTTCAGGGTTTCTGTTCCTTTAAGTAAAGAAAAAAAAAAACTCCACAGTTTTTGTTCCTTTTCTGTCTTATCTCCCTTGAAAGTGGGGGGGGAAGAATCCTGGCCATTGTTATTTGAACAGAACTGGGGGGGGGGGTGGTTATATGTATACGTATAATGGCAAATCTGTAATAAATGCCTCTTTTTGCCCCAATAGCAGTGCATGCAAATCTGGATCTGTGGTGTCTTTGTCCTGTTCAGGTGAGTTCATTTATTTTTTTAAACAACATTCATCATTGACATAGTTTACAGTAGTTATCTTTGCAGATTTTAGGGAAATGACATAGTTGTGTCACCAGTTTCTCAGTAAAAGGCCCATTCTTGTTTGTAGAACGCAAAAAAAAAGTCTTCTCAGTAGCACACGACAGAGTTTAGATAAAGGTCCTTCATTGTCCTTCCTCAAATGAAGTGTCATTTTGTTTTTCAGACTGTGGCAAGGTGGGCTCTCAGGACCGTATTGTTGGGGGTACAGATGCTTTCATTGAGGACTGGCCCTGGCAGGTTAGCCTGCAGCAGGGAGGAAGACATACGTGTGGAGGCTCGCTGGTGTCACCGCGTTGGGTTGTCACTGCCGCTCACTGCTTTGCTGGGTCAGTTATTTTTCATGTATAGCCTTTCCTCTGACCTTTTGTGGTTAGCACATTTCCTGTTAAATCCCTTTTTTTTTTTCTTTTTTTTGGGGCTTTGCAGCAGTAAGAAGGAGCTGAGTGGCTGGAAGGTGGTGTCAGGACGGACACATTTGGGCACTCTGGGAGGTTCCACTGTGGACAGGATAGTATTGAATGGAGACTACGACACAGCACGAAACGACTATGACATTGCCATGATGAGACTCAGCAGCCCGATCAGCATGGGAGGCAAGACTTTATTTTTATAATGGTCTAAACACAAGAACAGAAATAACTGTTTGGTATATTAGTTGGCATATTAAACCTGATCATTGCCTAATAACAGAAATGAATTCCCAGTTGTGTATGCAGTAGGCTTTACTCTATTGCTCCCTAGTGGGGAATATGTCAGCAAAAAGCTATTTATTTTGTCATTTGAATTTGTGATACATCTATTTCTACAGCTATAACCAAACAAAAAAGGCCCTAAAGGCATCATTTACTAAATAAACGCGCTGCACCTTTCTTTTAGAGTCCCAGAGGCCGGTCTGTCTACCTCCTAAATCCTTTGGTCTGCAAGCGGGAGCTTCCATGGCTGTGACCGGCTGGGGATACCTGGAGGAAGACGGTAAGCAATCTGCACGCTGCCTCTCATCATTCTTACCTGGCACCTTGTAAAAAAGAAAAAAAAAAAAAGAAAGAACATTTGTCTTCAGTTACCTCAATTACTCAAAAGTATCATTCTCCTTGGGTCTCCAGGTAATGTTTCTCCTACACTCCAGAAGGCCTCTATCCCTCTGATAGACCAGGCTAAGTGCTCCAGCCCCTCAATTTATGGCAGTTCCATCACAGAGAGGATGATCTGTGCTGGTTTCCTGGAGGGGAAAGTGGACGCCTGTCAGGTAGACACGGATTCAGTTCAAATGATTACGTTTGCGAACTGAAAAATGCATTGCTGTCAAATTAGATCAATTTACTTCCTCATATCTACAATTCTATATCTGTGATTATTTGTGGAAACACCCAGTATTGACATTGTGAAAATGTTTCTGTGCTGTTGTGAATCACAGGGGGACAGTGGGGGTCCTTTGGTGTACTTCAGCTCCTCTAAGTGGCATCTGGTGGGAGTGGTGAGCTGGGGTGTTGGGTGCGCACGGAAAGGAAGGCCAGGTGTCTACTGCAACGTGGAAGTGGTGTCAAACTGGATTCAAACAGTCATTGAGGTACAGCATACAGATTCTAGTCACCTTCTTAGGGAGAAGTATACACCACTTCTCTCTATATCTTTTATTATATCCACTTACATTTACAATGTAGTAGTAAAAAACAGTTACTTTGGTACGTTAAGTTAAGTTTGTTTGGTGAAACACTAACTCTACTAACACTAGATAAAACATTTTTTGCCTATATTATAAAAATGTTTACTTCCACCTTCCAGAAAAATCCCTGAGATCCTCCGTGTGTGATGAGCAGCCACCACCAGACTCCAGTCCAATTGACCTTGGAAAAACTGTGAAACTAAAAAGATTTGGTTTCAACGTGGCCGACTGAAGATAGGAGAGAAAGTGAAAGATGAGGATCGATCTCAGCTGCCACACAGGCTGTCCAACACAGCCATATGCCAAAAACACTACACACACACGTAAAATCACACAAACTTATTTCAGGTGTGCCATTTCAGGTTCTAATCTCAGGGAACAAGAATATTTATGTTGTTGCCATTGACATAAGGGCTTAGCAATAACTGTACAAACCTTTTTGTGCAGATGTTTTATTTACCAGACAGACATACTGTTCTTTATATCATGTGCTACGATGCGCTAGGTGTGCAACGTTATGTGAGGGGGTCATGTGATCTAAAAAACAAAAAAAAAGGTGACGGGATAACCCTGTGCTTTATTAATGCTGGCAGACATCAGTGTGAAGCCTCAGGTTAACAGTGCCAACAGAAGTGGACTTACCACATTCATGGTGCTGATGTAAGTGCGTGTGCCTTTAAAAGGACAAATGTACGCTTTTCAGTATGAACGGTGCGTTTGCTCCACACCATTGGTTTGAGCACTTTATGTGGAAATTGACAAATACTTGACCTGTATGTATGTGGACATGATTCAAATGTGCTGTTTGTAACTCAGATCTTTGCTATGCATCATCGTACCTCCAAATTGAGTTCAAGTGCAATCAGAAATTGGGCGGTGTACCTTTTAAAAGACTTGCTCTTGGTCAGAATGGACATACAGATATAAGCATCACTTCCATAAAAATGTAAATGAGAAACATTTAGTACAATGTGTGCTCTCAGGTAAAACTGAAAATGTATCTCTTAATGTCAAAGTTATTATTTCTTTATAGCAAAGAGTACATCAGTTATCAAAGTGATCCACAGAGCATGACAAAAAACAGGCACTTTTGAGTGAAAGAATCATGGTGGACTTATTGTAATATACTGTAAAATCAACTATCTGATCATGCATAGCGTTTGTCTCAATCTCTCAATGCACCGTGGGGTGAGAGACACAATGGATATCATTTGACTGTAAATAAGGTAGCATAACATTGGAGTGTATATATGGTACATTTTATTGATTTTATATGAACCTGTATATAGGCTGTAAATGTAATAAAACTTGGTAACCAGAACAGCTGTCTTGATATTCTTGACAAGTGTGTGTGCTAGAAGAAACTGGATCTGTCTGTGTTCCATTCACCACCTTCAGGCACACACCCTCTGACCCTCAGCTCACAAAGGAAGCCACAGTGAACAGGGTTTGTGCAAATCATTATATAAACTGGACCAAAAAGGATCCAATTACAATTTCTACTCAAATTTCATACACAATAAGTGAATAATGCTTTGCAACGTGAAGGTATTGTTCAACAAAGACTAATAAATCTGACGTGTACAAATTCACTTCTAAAACTTGAAAGACTCTTTGAAAGTTGTGTTAATATCTGCTGTATGCTTCATTTTTAAAAACCTTTTATTTTTGTACTTCTGACACCTCTATGGTGGAGAGATGTCATTTCCTATGTGACCTGTTTGTCCCTGTTCATTTTTTCTAACACCTTTTTAAATTTCTACCATGACCTTCTACAGAACCACTTATAGCAGCAAGACAAACAGAGAAAAGATTAGGGCTCTAGGTCCATTTGTTGGAGCCTAGAACACCAAATATGTCGAACAATGTAGCAAACAAATAGATTTTTCAGAGAGGGTGAAAAGAGCAGAGTCTTTCATACCACACCTGTCAAGGCAAACATCATAAAGAGACAGTTGATTAGACATAAACAAACATTTATTAAATCCTCAGTGAACTACAGACGGCAACCACAAACCGAGTGACATGTGCTCCACCTGTTGGTAGGTTGAGGTGGCTTCAGATACAAACAGGAAGTTTGGGTACATCCCCCACCTAGCCACACCACAGAATTGAACCATGCCATTTCCCCCACAACAGACTGATTGGAGGAAGCTGATCATCTTGATTCTTTGTTGTAAACATTAGGAAGACTGATAGTAGAACATTGTACTTTAAAGTCCTTTAGAACTAAACTGCAGCAGCTCACTTGCTCATGAAGAATTTGCTGATTAGGTAGAAAATCAGCCGTGATGTATAGAAGCAGTCCCGATTATCTGCGTGAACCACGGCTGGGGCCTTTGAACGGGTTATCCTGAAGAAGGAAAAGAAAGGTACAGTACAAAGATTCAAAACACTCGTTTTAAGATAATGAAGTTGTTAAGATCATTTATGAAAGCAGCAATAAAAGGTTATGTTAGATACATTAAGTTAGAAATGTAACAATCAAGGACATTAATTATTTCAAATTCAGAAAACTATTAAATGAATTAAACTCTTTTATACCTCATCATCATCACTATCATCAAATGCAACTCCTCTGGAAGTCTGACTCTGGCTCTGAGAGCCGTGCTTAGTGAAGGATGAAGATGACGACGACGATCTGTGGTAAGAAACAGATGGACCCAAATTTAACAAACATAAGAACAAAAACAGCTTTTAAATATTCCCTTGGTTGAGGTATGTGTGTTAATAGTGCCAATAGTGTACATAGATCAACCAACAGATTGATCCGGACCACTATGCTGTAGATCTAACCTACCTTGCAGGGGGTCGGGAAGCCTTCGTGACAGGTATGTCTTCATCTGAGTCATCAATGGTCAACTGGAGATGTGAAGTTAGTTAGATTGTAGAATGGTTGTATTGAAGAATCAATATGTGTGTGTTTAATGTGTGTATCATGTTGGCATTTAACTTACTTCATCTACTAAGGAAGATGAGGTCACTCCAGTCCGAGATGATCTCTGGGATGGAGCTTGAAATGCTGCACAATAAAGTATAAAGAACAGGAAGAAGAGATGAAGAGAAATATTGAAGTAAAAGAATAACGTTGAGAGATAAGACACAGTAAATGTAGTTAATTCAATTCATACACTGATGAAATAAGAATAGGTTCCCTCTCTGTGAGGCCTGAAGTCTGACTAATTAGTTTTGTATACAGATCGTTAACGTGTGTGTTTCTACATCGTCACAGTTACACACATTATGTCAAACACTTTTTACCTTGCATAATGCTTCTGCTTTGGGTTGCGGCTGAGGATTTCTGGGAGCGACCTCGACCGGCTGGTTTTGGTTCAAAGGCGGTAGCACCTTGATGAATAGAGAAACAGCTCAGAACAACGATTCAACATCAAGTGTCCCTGCTTTGTTGCACTGTATTCAAGTCTACAAAAATGTAATAAGGACTAAACTAAAACAAGCTTCTAAGTCTAGGTCTATGTCGGGATAGTTTACAACTATTCTGCCAACAACCTTTTAAAATCATCCAGCCTTTATCTTAATCCTCAAATTTTGACCAGTGCTATCCACAGTAGGTATAACTTCTGATTAACCAATGACACTTCAACTCTCAGGATTAAGAAACCTTTCATTGCTGCCAGCATCTTTTTTTCTACACTGAACTGAACTGTAATACACTGACTAAAAACTTCTACACTATAACCTTCATAGTATGGATTCATTTCACAGAGTAAGAAACTTTACAAGCTCTTCTCTCAGTACAATGGTTATTTAAAATACAACATTTCAATACCACAAGAGCCTAATTGTTAAGAACGCCATGTTTTTAACACTGTATGCACAAGTGCTATTACTTCCCTATGGAGCTGCACATCTGGCAAATATCCAGTCAGAATTTGACCTGGTGTATTTTCTTCACTACTACTGCTGCATTCATACATTGATTCATCTAGTTCCCACAGATATATTTTTCTAGGCGGCTGACAGGAACATTTCTGGAAGAAGCTGGGGTGAATCATTTGGCTGTTTGCATTCACACCCCCAAAAATTCTGAGGAAAATTCAGGAGATTTTAGAATGTGTGAATGCACCTTCAGTAGAATATTTGCTCTCAGTCATCGCCTTGCACCAGGCCTACATTCCTTAATTTGTCTTTTAACCATTGTGGCGATTGTCCCATTTTCATTATATAACAGCATAAAATCATTTGGTATCCTAACCTCTCCCTCTCCCTCGACTCCCCCGCCCCTCTGCTGCCCCGCCCTCTGCCTCGTGTGGGGGAAGGGGTTGGGGCCGAGCCTCCATCAGAGTCCATATCAACATCAGCAAGGTCATCTAATATGTCCTTATCCAGAGGCTCATCTCCACGCTCCAAACGATGAGCTTTTGCTCTGTTGATAGCCTGTGGGAAAGAGAGATAAGCACAAACCGTTAGAAAAGACAGACAACACAACATCCTAAGCTTGTAAAAACTCGGTACCGACTTCTCTGATTTCATTTTCTTCTTCAGTCGTGTTCTTTTTGGAGTCTCTGAATTTTTGGATCTGGAAATGTAAAAACATGTAGTGTTATTAATATAATAATGTTCAACATTCATTTCATCTGCCCTACTTCCCTTGCGAGTCCCATTTCCTTACCTCTGTGTCGATGTCCTGCTCTGTGATTACTCCTCTGGCCTGGAGGTGGCGTTGTGTCTTCTCTAACTGGTACGTGATCAGCTCCTCGACGGCATCTTTCTCATCTTTGTCTACAAACTCCTGGATGGCCTTGCCCATGCCCTGCTCGGTCAGAAGGGACAGCTGCACTGTCTGTGAAAATACAAACATGCACTTTTTTTTATGTAATACACGATGGGAAAATAGATATAAGTGTTAGATCGTTTAGTAAATACTTTAAAGTAAAAAAAGGTGTGTAGAGTACCTGCTCTGCTGCCTCAAAGTACTGTTTCACTAGGTCCTCCACTCTCAGCCCCTCGACTGCTGTGGTTTTTATTATTTTGCTGTAGTCAATATTGACTTCATCTGAAAACATAAAGGTTGAAACATGTCAAATAGACTAACTATACACTTCTCTGTGGCGTAAACTGTAAAGCCTAAGCAGTTTTTTTTTAAGTCTATGGCTGCTTACAGACTGCCATTTCGCAACAGCACCATCACAAGGTTCTGGCGTCGTAACGCTCTTGTACTGACATAATGCATCCGTATCGGCACAGTGTTGGTTTCCCAGTGTTTAATTTCACATTGCATTACAGCATGCAGAACCCCACGAGGAGCACAAGAGGCATGGCGTGTGAGCACACAGTGGGAGCTCTACATATACACACACACACACGTCACTGTTCCACCTCACCGGCTCCGACATTACATAATGCCCGTTTGTCTCCCCCTTATGCCCGCCACCACATCTGATGGTGGATCAGGGGCGGAACCACTTCATCCCTCCATTCTGCAACTTTGGTTACATGCTGCACGAGAGAGACGGACGGAAATATTCCACCTTCAAATGGCCTTTCAAGATTATTGTAACTTTATTGTCTAACAAAGTGAGAAATGAGTCTGGGGCTCTTCACCTTTGATGTCCTCCTTTTGCTCACGCCGTCTGAGAAAGTGAATGAGGTCCTTCGGGTTGGCTATACGGTCTACAAACTTCTGACTGAAGCGCGCAGTGTTGAATGACTCAAAGCCCCCACTGTAGTCCACCTGGGGAGAAAATGGAGAGGATGAATTAAAACACAGCATTAATACAAAGATGTGCGCAAACCCTGGCTATGTGTGTCTCTTACCCTCAGGCGAATTAGAGGTTTCTCTGGGGTGAGCGGACATCCGAGTCTTTCTCTTTCAGCTTCTTCCAACATCTCGGTTACCTACAGAGAGAAATAAATCATCTATTTTATTATCTATATCTAGATGATAGATATATACTATAATTTATCTAGACAGATTGAGTACAGATATTAGTGTCTCTATATGTCTGTGACTTAACCTTTGCATAGCACAGGTTCTCCACTTTCTTCGTGACCTGGGGTGTCTCAGGTGTGAAGAGGTCTTGGTAGTCAGCCAGCACCACATCTTGGATGAAGAACTGACGAACCGTCTTCAGAGGGATCTTCTGCAGGTTCATCTTTCGACCTTTCACCCTTAGCAGTCCTATGTGCCTACATCCACACAAAACGGCCTTGGTTAAGTTCCTACCACTCTGAAGAACCCACTCAGAATTTGAAAACTGTGAGCGTGTGCGTCTCTGTGTACTTCTTGGTTGCTTCTCCCGGGGACAGAGAGGTGGCTACGGAGCTGCCAGGCTGTGTCACATAGAAGAGCTGCTGTTCATTTCTGGTTGGTGTTATCAAACACTCGTGCTCATGACCCCACACCACCAAGTCTAGAAACTCATCCAGGAACTGCTCAGGTATATAGTTAGTGGGCCCATGCTTACTCCTAGCAAAAATAAACACAGACAGAAATAAGACATTCAAATCCTTAATCGAAAAAAAACAAACAGATCTTTTTTGTGGACATTAGCAATTAAGATTTAATAGAATCACTACATAGAGAACATGCCAAATTATTACTTAGCCTCTTTAAAAAAAACCTGCAAAAACTCCTCACATCTTCCGTTTAGTCAAAAGAGTCATATTTTAATTATAAATAAAATGTACATCTATTTGTTCTCTTTAAATCTGACATCAACGTTCACAAGCAGGCACACACCTGTTCTGGTGGATGGTGAAGAGGTTAAACCATTCATCTTGGTCTTCTTTGGGTCGAAGCATAGTCACCTGGTTGTTGACAAACATCCTGTACAATCGCTCGTCTGGGATGGAACCTAGGCGCGCGCACAAAAACACAAAATGAAGACAGAAACAACTATTTGATTTTTTTTAAAATACTTATGAATCCTGAGACAATGCCGACAATTATTACACAAAAGGCACACTTACCAAGACCGTATAAGGCTAGCTTGGTGCTGCCTTTGTGCAGGAGTACTGGACTGATTTCAATCTTCTCCACTGAGTGGGAGTGACCAAAGTGATTGACAAGACCAGAAGCACTTAGCAGATCCAACGCACACAAACCTTCAGCCTTGAGGAAGGAAGTAACATGACATTACAGCAATCTTTAGGAACAAAAAAAAATCAGACAAGCACATTTGGGCATTTTAAGATGTTCTGCCTAATTATCAAACATTCTGCTTGACAAAACTTACCCCAGTGGGGTCATCGTGATTACCGTGAATGCTGAACACAGGAATGGAGATGTTCAGGTTTTCATCCTGATAGTTTACCCAGGGGAACCTATAACCCAGCAGTACATATATAACAACATTCATATGACATTCATGCAACAAGATAATGATAACAAGACAAATGCAGCAGAACTCACTGGGTGGTGTTAAAGTTGATGGTCTGGTCACTGAGAATGTTGAAGTGGATGGGCGAGTCCCCCATGCAGTATTTTCTTAGCATGGTGATGCAGTTGTGGAGGCATCGGCGGGTGGGCTTGTTGTCATGAAACAAATCACCTCCCAGCAGGATTAAATCGACCTGCAAGTAAACAAGTGAGTGTAAAGAAAGCAGCAGGGATTTAGATCAGCTAGACTTTTGAAACTCGATTCACACAGAGGGAGGCATTTATTAAACTGATTCGATGTTAAGCCATTTTTTTTTAACTGTATACACGTACACATCATGAACTTGCACACACCTGATTTGTCTTTGCACATTTGAGGATCTCATCAAATGTGTTGAAAGAGTCGTTGCCTCGGACGGCATCTTTCTCGAGATAACCGAGGTGAACATCTGTAGCGATCAAGATCTTGAAGGTATCCTCGTCATCCCTAGAAAAAGATGCAAAATACAGTGATCATAAACAACTATTATATCAACTGGAGGATCATAATAATAATAAAATCTGTTGTGAACTAACCAACACACAGTCACAAAATATTCGGCTCAAGGATATTTGAATACATTTAATAGACTCACAAGTTGTTCTCTGAGGTCATGGTGATGTGAGATGTGTAGAGATCTAATAACACCTGGCAGGTTGTCAGCAAAATGCAGAGCTGCAAAAAAATTTACAAAATTTTTAGCTACATTTAGTCTCAAAGCATTTAGGGAAACAATAAAACAAGCTTTTTTTTTTTTAAATCAACAAATGCAGGGATGCAACAACGATATGACAGCGGCTACTGATAACACATCTACATGTAATGTTGTGATTTCTGTTCACGCATTTGAAGAATTAGTTAATAACAAACTATTCCGTCAAGAACAAGTCAGTTAAGACAGTGAGTCAAAAAAAAAAAAGTTTTATATTTTCGTTTGTTTTCATTTCTTTTTTTGTCAGGGTTTTCCTCATGGGAGCCATGTTTACAAAACACAAACTGTACATACGACACACTGCACTAATAAGTTGTGTTATGGTGTGTTGCAGCTAGCCCACAATTATCACTCCGTAAAGTATTATCTAACACTGCTAATAACTAATAACGTGTTACTGAATGCTAATTTATTGAGATGATGTTGACGCCACATTAGCTTTCAATGTAAGCTAGAAACGATTGACAGGAAGTTATCAATGTAATAGCTGACAGAGTGTAAGTTTAACGGGTTAAACTTAAACACAATACGTCTAAAAAATGTTCATAATACAGTTTTGTACTCGCTATAAAAAAAAACCGCGTGGAAAACACATTGCTTTCCACCCACCTCCTCCGAAGACCAACAACGAGCATATCTGTCCTGGCAAGTCTTGGAAGCCCTGTCCCCGCCCCCTTTTTTTGAGGTGGCTTTTGGGTATTGTAGTTTTATTCTGAAGCAGAGCCGTTCTTGTCTTGCGAGAGTGACAGCGAAGGAGAAACTACACTTCCGGTAAACAAGCGATGTGCGCTGGTTTTAAACATACCAGCACACCGGTCTCGCCGTCCTTCAGTAAGTTACATCGCTCCGGTTAGCTGGCGGGGAGGGCTGGTGATATATATCATCGAAACCCATCAGATATCCTGGATCGTGTGGCTTGTCAAGTCAAGTGATGTTTTGTTTTCACAACCCATATTAGCAGCACTGGTAGCTTGTAGAAGCGGTGCTTAGCTAGAAAGCTACCAGTAGTTAATAAAAAGAAAAAAAGGAGTGGCTTTTCTACTTCAAACCAATATTTGCGTTTGTTTATTTTACTGTCTTTTTTTCTTTTGCGTGTGCATATTTTAATAACACACACTGGATCCGATTACACTTCAATGGACAAGCTGTCAAAAACAGCCGCTGATGCGACGCGAGAGAAGGTAGCGGTACAATACTTTGTGTTTGACTTAAATTATGAATAAAATCTGCTCGTCTAAACAAAGTTTGTATTAGTCGTAAAGGTAGTTAGACTTCCTTACAGCAGTGGGAAGTCTTCAAAATAATTTATTTAACATGTATCCCTGTTTCTCTGCAGGAGGTCTGTCCACCAAGCGGAGTCGTAGCTGACAGCCTGTCACATACATCTTATAACGAGTATCCTGCTCGCTGTCCCCTCATCAACACATATGTGCGTCACACTCCTCAAGCACGCACACATCAGTCATTCCGCCCATCATCACCAAGCAAGGCATTCCCAGAGACCAGCAGTGCAGGTATTTTTTTTTTGTACATCTGTTAATTTCCCTTCCCAAAGTTTCCATTCAAGGTATTGTAGTGTTTCACAGCTCCATGGTTACAGCATGTGTAACATGATGCCACACTACTTGAATGTCTCAGACGCACAGGCATCTCTATTCGTCCTTCAGCATTATCCTTCCCTTTTAGTCGTCAAGTCACAGTCACGCCCTAAGTTTAAAATCTATCAGTAAATATTCAGATGTTTTACAATGTTCTACTCCGTCTCACACGCAATCAATGTGTGTTCTTGTGTAGCGATCCTCTCTGCCCTGAGGAACCTCCAGGAGAAGATCAGGAGGTTGGAGTTGCAAAAAGGCAAAACTGAAGTAAATATGCACACTTTAGGGAAAGGTGTGTCACACATGCATCAGCAGAGCGATAAAGTCACAAGGAGGCTTTTTAATGATCAGACCGACACAGCAAAAGAGAAAAGGGGCCAGTCCAACTGCAATCAAGGTGGGTGTATGTAAACAAAGTATAACTTTTCGGCTGATATTATTTATTTTCCCCCAGTATCTTATGGTGTCCTATTGTTTTTTCACCTTTTCTCCACAGTTTTAATCAGCCACCTGGCTGCTGCAGAGTCTCGCTGTGTGAAGCTGGAGCGACAGCTGGATTACATGAGAGGGATGCTGCGCAGTGCTAAGGCAGACAGGACCAGCCCTCTCACACAGCAGGTTCACCTGGTGTTCTTTATGTCATAGGCTTTGATAGAGACACTCAATCTCTTGACATAGAGATACACAAACAACCTGTATTAAAGGAATATTTGAGCGTAAATGATATTAATGTGTGAGTGAGTAGGTTTTTTGTATTAATTACTCTATACATCTTTAGGTTTCCATGGAGACAGCTAAATCAGCTGATAAACAGTCCGGTACAGTGTCTGAGCAACTCCAGTTGGAAAAGCTGGAGCGACTGGAGCTGGAGTATCGTCGGCTGACGCGCACACAAAATGACGCTGAGGTACACACAAAGACACCGGGAAATGATATTCACCTTAACTAGTGGTACTACAACTACAAGATATCACAGACAGGAGAAAAAAATTACCTTTATTTTCACATTAATATAATATTAATGTTTTTGTGTGTTCGAATGTGCCAGTTGAAGATCCGGGAGCTGGAGATGAAACTAGAGGAGGAGGAGCACCAAAGAAAGCTGGTTCAGGATAAGGCAAATCAGGTAACAAGCTGGCTTTGATTTGTATTCATCTTAAGAGACCATTTTCTTTTTGGACTTAACATTGACAGCTTGCAATGTGTATTTTACCTAGAAGCAGGCTTCATCTGTGTGTGTGTGTGTGTGTGTGTGTGTGTGTGTGTGTGTGTGTGTGTGTGTGTGTGTGTGTGTGTGTGTGTTCGTCAGCTGCAGACAGGTTTGGAGGCCAATAGGATACTGCTGCAGTCAGTGTCACCCTGCCTGTCCTCCAGACAGTCTAAAGAGAAGAACTGTGAATCAAAGGTAAAGACCTTTACAAGGTTTTACTACTGATTAGTGTACCTGGAATGGTTTCCTTACCTTTTCACTTGTTAATGTTTAAACAATTGAGATGAGACAGAGTGCTTCAAAGTCCATCTTGTTGAACAAACTTGTTAATGAGGGAAATCATTTTTGTCATTCAAACTGATAACTTCAGTATTTTGTAATAATTTATGGTCCAGTCTATTAATGTGTTGTTATCGTAGAGGAGAGAACGTTTGCAGCAGCAGCAGCGACCTGGAGAACAAGTGCAGCCCCCCGCGCTATTCCAAGTGCAACGCCTTTTTTTGTGCATCCTGACAAAGTAGGAGGGCAAGCATCCTCCGTTTGGCTCTCATAGTGAAAGGGCATAAACTATATCAAATATAAAACATACAATAAAAAGCATCAGAGCAGTGTTGGTCACACAGCGGCCTCTTTTTGAAAGACTGTTGTCATAGAGACAACGCACACACGTGCAGCACTTATATTCTCAGCGCACAATCAGCACTTTTCTGCCCCCTGAAAAAACACCAAGCAAACACATACTCCTAAATATAATTTTTTTTGTGTATTTTAACATTACTATGTTGATTTTTTTTCCTTTTCCAGAAAGCATCACCACAGGAGTCGTCCTGTACACAACCACACTATAGACTGAGCCTCAGAGATGTTCCTTTTGTTGCTGGAACGGTAATAGATGTATTTATGTTATTAAAATAAATTGGAATTAACTATTAAATTCAGTATGTACCTAATTCTATTATTCTCTTTTCTGTCCTGACTCTCAGTCAGTGGGCTGCAGCCACTCAGTCCGAGCAAACGTCCAGTCAGTTCTGTCTCAACTGAAACGTCACCAGCCACACCTCTGCAACAGCCGAGTCCTATCCAACAACAAGACAGGGAGTCGTAGAAATTCAGACTCTTCCTCTACTTCCTCCTCTGCTAGCGAAGAGGAGCTTTCAGAGCTGCTGCAAGCTCTGCAGGAGGAGCTGCGACTCATGAGCTTGTGAGTGGGAGCTCTTCAAGGAGTGACATGTCTGCAATGCTGTTACATTTCATTCAATGTGTGTGTGTGTGTGTGTATGTGTGTATGTCTGTGGTTGCAGGGATCAGGAAGAGTTGCTGAGACAGGTGGAGGCGAGTGTGTCTTCAGAGGAAAGAAAAGAGCTTCAGAGGGAGCAGGAGACACTGCTGCTGAAGATGGAGAGGAAAGGAGAGCAGATCAGAAAGCTCTACAGACACAAAACACAGGTGGGTTCTCACACTAAAAACAGTTCAGTCCACACTACAAAAACAAGCTGAAAATGTAAGGATATGTTTTGTTCTCTTCTCTAGGTGAAGAAGTTTAGAAAGGAGGCTGGTTCTAAGTGCAATGAGGTGAGAGTGACAACCACAGTGTCCACTAGAAGGAGAGCAGGAGACTGCATGTTCGAGAAAGCTCTACAGACACAAAACACAGGTGGGTTCTCACACTAAAAACAGTTCAGTCCACACTACAAAAACAAGCTGAAAATGTAAGGATATGTTTTGTTCTCTTCTCTAGGTGAAGAAGTTTAGAAAGGAGGCTGGTTCTAAGTGCAATGAGGTGAGAGTGACAACCACAGTGTCCACTAGAGGTCGCTCTGCAGGATCTGTCAACGTTCGACCAGGAGAGAGAAGCAAAAGAAACCTGCGGCTGCTGAGGGACATGAAGGCTCTGCAGACCTCTTTAAGAACCTGAAAACCCACCAGGACTTGAAAACAGTTTCTGGGTTAATAATCTGGTTGGTGCTATATTTTTTTGTTTTACTGACCCATGATCAGTACTGAATATCTCAGAGTAAACCAAAATGAATATCTCCTAATCTTCTATGTCCTATGATCCATTGAAAAAGCAACTTGAAAAGACTTCAGTACTTAGCTATAAGACAAAGTCCATTTTATCAAATTAGATTTAATTTTTGTCAGTTCAGTCTTCAGTCTTGTGTCAGTTTCAGGTACTTTATTTATCCCTGAGGGAAATTCTGATTTCCATATTATGGTCCGTATTGGGACTTGAACCGGCTACCTCGGGTTCCCGACCCAAGTCCCTACAGACTGAGCTACTACTTTTAACAGCAGTTTAAAATATCAAAAATAAAGTTTTTAATTAATTATCAAACCATTTTTTTTCAGTTACTTTTTGGGGTATTCTGTAGAGCTATTGACTGCGACATCAACCTGGTGTTCTCCTTTTTTTTCCAACTACAGGTTTAAATGTTTCACCAGCAGAGGGCATAAACTCTCAAAATCACAGCTCAGCTTTCTGAAGATGCAATCTGGCAGGACCAAAGAATTTCATTTAGGTTTCATTTAGACCTCTGGGTATCGACAAAAGACTCCAAGAAAAAGCAACAAATTGTTATATCATGTTTAATAAAGTCCAAGATATCCCTTGCTGCAGAAAATCTCCTGGTTTTGCTTGATAGTCACAAAAGTAAAAAATAAATAAATAAAAAAAGCCTGAAATCTTTTGATACTTCTTTTGCCCTATGATGTGCTAAAGGACATAAAAAGCTGTTTTTTTGTTAAGAGGACTGAATTGCAATGCTCTGTAGAATTGCTGATCCAAAATGTGTGTGTGTGCGCGTGCGTGTGTGTGTCTGCATTAATTAAGGTGAGAATATTTGTATTCATCTCTGATTCTGATATTTTTGACCATTATGAGTGCCCTTATTTTGACTGAAAGTTATTTATCTGAGATGATAAAGTATTTATGTTTCAATATGACTGAGTCCTGTTTTTGATTTCAGCTTGTCCTAGTTGCAGATCTTGTGGATGTGTTACCATCACTCAGGATTTATAGCTGGATGTTAATTCACCTTTTTTGTAATACATGGTATCACAGGATATTCAGATCCTCTCTGCCCACACATTGGAATTAGCAGATCTGTAAAGGTTGACAGGTTCTGTTTAACTTATCTTGTGTATCTGGCCAACATAATCCCATTAGAAAAAGAAGATTTATTTGAGGGCTTTTGCCTCTATTTGGAGAGGGCAGTGGATAGAGTAGTACATTGGGACAGAGAGTGTGGAATGACATGAGGGACAGGAGCCGCAGGTCGGACTAGAACCCGGGCCGAACATTAGGAGAACTATAGCCTTCATACACAGGGCTTGACCTCACAACTAAAATCTTCAGCATCCCAGAATCCCAAAACTCTTGTTAGAAAATAAGGTCAAAAATAGTCAATAAAGTATTTTTTAGTTGGTTTTTAACTAATACAAAGAAAACTCAGCCTGACCCATTACATGTAAATTATTATGCAAAAATATTAATTCTCACTAAAGGTGCATCATGTCACAATACATGTGAAAATACTAGAATCATTGTTTCCCATATCATGTAGCCTTAGTGGGGCCCATTTTCGCAGCATTAAAATTCTGTTTATTTCATCATAAATAGGTTAATATCATGATACTGAATTATCCTTACATTTTGAAGTTAGCCACAAGAAGGACACAAGTGAGACACAATGACAACAATCAACAAACTTCTTAAAATATATCAAAACATTTCATAACACTGATATGACAATTGGATTAGCTTGCAGTGACTGTTAAAGGTGCCTTACTTTCATTTTTACATTTGTATGTCAAACACTGGTAATATTTATAAGGGGCCTCTTTAGAAACAGTGTCAGGAAACTGGTCACATGTTTAAACACACAGGTGACTCCCTTGACGACCATTAAAGAAAAGAAACAAAGATGAATAAATAATGAACCAGAAGTTTCACACGAGGACTGAGTCAGTGACTACGATTGTCTGTTAAAGTGCCATCACCTGCACCCCATAACTACCCAGGGTTCAGATCGTAGTCCAGACATCTGATCCTCACTGCAGGGGGCCCCCCCCGAGTGTCATCGCTGCTGACCGGGCCTGGATCTCTATGGCCGCATGAAAACAAACACCTGTAACCAGAGTCCTCTGTTTGTGTGGTGAGTGTGATAAAGCTCCTGGCTCGATCATTAAAACGCCCCAATCCACCCTGACCTAAATTAAGAAGAGGTTGACCTGTCAGGCGGCCACAGAGGCTCAGTTTGTGTCTGCATTTTGTCTCATGGTCCACATCCAAGATTCTGCTTCCTCTTTCAAGAATCTGTCTCAGATATTGAGGCCAGCTCTGTGATTTTAGGCCCCTCCTGGTGCTTAGTGAGAACTGGTCTACTGGTGTAAATGTCATCCACTGGTAGAAGGAATGTCACGGTTTTTACCTTTGTCCTGAAATGTAAAAGGTACACATTCGTTTTAAGTCTACAAATCTAAACACACACTGTATAAAGTCTATATTATAGAGAATTTAAAGAGAAAAGATAGCATATTATCAAAGGAGACCCTCCTAAACCAGACTTATTTGGGGTATTTTTTTTAAAAGCTACATTTATGAGTTCAAAGGTGCATTTTGTTTGTACCTGTTTTTGTGCACATATTCTTGCAGAGAGTGCCTGTTGGTAACCTCTCCTTTGGCTGAGTTTCCAAAGATGCTGTTCCCATGGTGATGGTGGATGTCTTCTTGTAGTTGTCCCCATCCTGAGTCCCTCCGCGCTGCTCTGTCAGACCCCCCCTCTTTCATGGTTACACCGGACATGTTGGAGGTGATAGAGTACCTCCTGACTGTCATGACGGTGTTTTCTGTAATGTAATATGAAAAAGATTAATTTCTGAAGTGCAGAGACAGATTTAAAAAAAAAAAAGGACATTCATTTGAAGCTTCTTTTCTATGCACCTTAGAAAATACAATAACCTTCAATATGTCTTAGAATAAATACTTCTTTTTTTTTTTTTAGATTCTCACTAGTCGCCTTTTCTGGAAATAAAAAGTGCACTTCTGTTAAAAAATTGCCATTAAGAGGTCACTGAGTTGCATTATGGAAAATGTAGGATCCCGAAATATTTTTGGCTGGACAGTACTTGTGCTTTCACAAGATTCTCAAACATTGCTACCTTTAATCAGTCTTTTGTGAGACATCAAACTTAATGCGAGTGTGACCCTACTTCATTCAAGTGCTCCTATAAATATGGACAGTTAGAGGCTTCTGAGGTGCAATATGGGAACTGTTGGATCTTTATGCACTTGACCAATTGATAAAGAGGAATTAGGAGGATGATATTGTGCTTTTCTCATCAGATACCTTTTTAACATTCTGTCTTTGAATGTGTATCGTTTGAGACTTATAACTAAATGAAAGTTTAACCCTTAATCATTGTGGCGCTCCTTAAATGTAATTCCTCCACTTTTCTTAATTCGTATAGGTTTCAATATTGTTGGGTGAAATAAAAACAAACCAGTAGATGTTTAAACTACATTTTTAATCCATTCCTATTAAAACATTCCGTTTTGGATATGTCACTATTTCATAGGTTGTATTTGACTCTTAATAATGTCTATGGACAGTTGAAAATGACTTATCTTTGCAGTAACAGGCCTTTTCTCTTACCTTTATATTGTCCCTCAAGGTCTGGCGCAGACGCATTCCTCCTCAGGTTCAAGTACGGGTTTTCAATCTGCTCCGCGGTTGAAGAAACTCTACTGCCTTCCCTAAATGTCCGCTGACCATAGTCCCCCTTGAGTTCTCGGTTCTCCTCCTCCAGCTTCTTGATATCCTCGCGCATCTCCATGATGACGTGCGCCAGGCTGCGCGTGCTCTCCATGGCGCTGCTGCTGCGCTGCCAGTACCATGGCTTCCCAAATACCGGCGGGGACTCATGCAGGAGGAGCTCTCCAGGCTGCTGGGGCTCTAACATGCTCCTCGTCCTCAGGGAATAGGGGTTTGTGGTCCTCCTGCTGGGTGCCTGTGCGCTCAATCTCAGTCCAGATCTTGTTCTGGGGAAGATTATGTCGCCTTTCACCACTTATACAGCTGACAGGGCTCCAGTGATCAGCCAGCAGCACACACACACACAATGTTTTATTTATCAGGCCTGGAGTCCAGTTTCAGGAAAACTAAGCAGAGGTCGGAAATGAAATATGCACTGCAGAGGAGCTTGCACGGCGGGAGACCTGCTAAACTTGTCGAGTCACTGAAATGAAAAATACTTACGAACAATCACTTTTTGCCCCGCTAAATGTTGTCTAACGTCATGTTTAAGTTCCAGAAAAGAAAAAAGGTAGTTCCCAGTTTTTTGGCACCCCTGTCACCTTGATGTAATGTCCTTGTTTCTACTGGGATTACAATATCCTGCCTCTAAATTATTAATTAAATCTGTCAGCAGAGATAAATCAAGGTAAGAAACTGAGAAAATGCCACCTTTCACAATATTTTCTGTCTTGATTGTAATGCCAAATATAGTTTTGATTAATTTTACTTCCAAATGACCACCTATGCAGATGTTCCCTTTAGCACAGATTTAAACATAAAAAGTTAGCCCAATATAAAGGGGATACAAGGGGTTAAAATATAATTAACGTCAGCATTAATTTGCCTCTTCACACTTTCATGACCACAGATAGGAACACACAGGTGGTGTGCTACTGAAAACACATTGTCCTGTGTCTTCCGATGAAAGTTGTTTGATAAAGTTAGGGGTCAGGAGGTCAACCCAACGATGACAAGACAATCATGGGAATGAATTACATCAAAATAAAACAAGCATCTCATAAATAAGGGAGGGAATCACTGCAAACGGACATCAAATGTAGGCAAGCTGCAGACAAATGAGAAACATTTTAGATGGTTGCTCTCAATGAGGCTTCTTCAGCAGGTATGGTATGATCAGGTGCTACAGTGGAAGTCAATTAGCCACAGGTTATAACACATTTTTAACAGATTCAAATGCTTGGGCGCCGTATGGGGGAGAAAAGTGAGGGAGCTGTAGCTGATAACAGCCCCTATAATGTTACTGCCATTTGTTCATGGCAATGTTATTAAAATCTCTGGTGGCGTCCCTGTTTGAACACTTTGCTCGGGTTGCTAAAAGTGGGGTAGAACTTCCTGAACATTTGAAAACAATAATAATACAAAAATTTTTATGTTTACAGTATGCTAGCAGTCAGTTCAAGATATTTTCTTGTTTGTGTGCAAGCTCTCAGTAACCCGACCCTGACAGGGTCCAGGCCACCAGGAGGGAGTCAGACAGGCACATATACGCCAGTCAGAAGAGGAGAGAAACCCAATCAGTCCCCTCTTTCTGGTTCACAGAATAGGCTGCACAGAGGGAGGGAGGAGAGGACAGGAGAGGAGACAGAGAGGAAGACTGATTGGCAGTGAGTTTTTTTTGCAGAAGAGGCAGGAGGTCAGTGAAACTGAATCTGCTGCTCCTCAGATGTATGACCACAGAGAGAGAGAGAGAGAGAGAGAGAGTTAAGGCTTAGAGTTGTCAATTCGTCAGCATGTTTGTCAGGCAGCTATAAAGACAGAGGACTTCATTATGTTTAACCAGCAGCTGCACATTCAGGACCACTTAACTCTTTTTTATGTTCAGGGCCTCAAACCTAAAGCTTAACATCAATAAATAAAGAAGCACTCTGCTGCTCTCTCTATGCATGATCAGTAATTATACACAAGTGGAACAAAACTGATACCAGATCCTGTGGAAAACTGTTCAACAGAGAAGGTGCTCAAATGACATTTCACCTTAACCTGAGTTATAGTTATATACCTTTGTGTGATGAAGTTAGTGCCTTAGCACAAAAACATCTCACTATAAAGTAGCATTATATATTTTACTTCCCTCTGATTTTATTTAAAAGAAGAGTTTCTTTTTTTTAATTCAATTCTAAAAGACGCCTTGAGTGATTCAGTCACTGGGGCGCACTGCGACAGCAAGGACACAATTTTATTTTAAAAAGGTATTTTACTCCAGTCAAAATGATGGCAACCTGGATGCAATTAGCAAACGAGTGATTGGAACTACAGTGAAGTGAGAGGGTGAGATCTGAATGCAATGACCTGAAAGATAAAAAAAAAAGAACACACAATAGAAGTCGTACTTATATAAGGACGGCAGATAAATAAACGTGTTGAGGATAATGATGGAGGCATAATAAACTTTTGGACATTAACAAAATTTTATTGAAATGTTATACATAAAACTTTAGTTGTTGCTCTTTTTTTAAATTCAGCTAAACAAATATTTATATATTGTATATTTTATAAAAAGAAACATTTCAAACATTCTTAAATATTAATATTTCTTATTTACAATTCAAAACAGTACATGAAATAATAACAGTAACAATGCAAATCCAATCATAAAAATGTTACAAAACATAAGTTTGTATTTTATTTGTTTCCATTTGAAATTTGCCGAGCTGATATTTCCAGAACTTTAGCAAGGATACAAAGTAGCAATGTGGAGCTGCTCTACATTCAAACAGGAACGTGAGGTGCGTTCAACTCTTCAAATGCTTCTTTGTGTAAGTTACAGTTTCTGACCTGTAATCCAAAACCCTTTTTTTTCACATTAATCATCTTTCAAGTTCTTTTTAGATAGTCTGAAGTACAATAATACCTCACTGAAAAAAAAGAAAACGTAAAAACCTTTAAAATGCACCAGAAAGCTTTATTTTACAAGTACAGCTGAACGCACCTCAAGCTCAGTAAGGTCACTGTTCTCTAAAGGGACAGGGTTGAGGAGAGAAGGCGCATGTTGTGTGTTTGTGTGTATGAAAAAATGCACTGTACGTATTTGTTTGCATGTGTCTGTTAGTGTGTAAGCTAGGGAGGGGTCCATTCTGCACATGGAGTCTCTAAAACCAAAACCAAACAGAAGCTAACAGTCCAGCGACCTGGCCTCTAACTGTAGATAGTCAACGTTCAAACGTTCAACCACAGGACTACAGACTATCACAACCACAGTCTACACACTTCTTCTTCCCTTGTTTTCTCTACACTCACCATCAGTCACAATTCCACTACTTCCAGAATGAGCCTCAAACTGGCACTCCGAAGACATTCAGGGGAAAAATTGTCCTTCTTCTAGTGAGGCTACTGGCCGTTCAGTAGGCGCTGTGCCGTTCCGTTCCTGGCTGTCTTGTGTGAGGAATCTGAATGAGGGAAAAGAATCAAAGTAAAACTCAAAAAGAAGGTAAAGACAGCAGTTTGGCTAAAGGATGGATGTGGATAGACTGGGATGGGAGGTGGGGAAAAGTAGATTAAGCGTGTAGAAACAAAGCTTGATGTCTTTCATGGAGGACCGTGATGACATGACATACCAGTCTTAGAAAGAGTGGACAGAGAGCTGGCAGACAGAGATGAAACACTGGCAGCAGCATGAAAACGTTTTTGCAGCTGTAATGAGAGGAGAAAGTAAGAAAAAGCATAGAGACAAACAGACACTGATGTTCGTGAAAATGCTAAATGACTCTTAAAACGATGCACAAGAAGAGATGACACCCATTAAGCCAGGGAAATGATAAGACACTTAATGGACGCTGCATAGTGAGACCTGCTCGTTCATGATGCCCGACAGCTCAGTCAGCATGTCCCTGTAGTGAGCCCTCATCTCCTCCTGGTACTCCAGCTGGTCCTCCTTGATCAGTCGCTCGTTCACATCCAGAGCCTGACCGCACGCTTCTGCAAACTGCCTGCAGGGGGCGAACAAGGATGAACTTAATGCAAAGTAATGATAGATGAAATGAATAGTGTGACTGAACATTATCTTTATTGATTTATGATTATTACATGGTAGACATTAAAATATATAAAATACACTCAATTAAGGGGTTCCTATGTTTATCAGGAGTTACATCTCTAACATATCCATGTATTTGACAGTTTGACTTCAATTTTATGTCAATAAAATTAATAAAAGATTTAAATTTACCCTAAACTTGGCCTTAAATCATCTATATATGTATATAATGGATTACATAAAGACAAGCCTGTAGAACATGATAAACATATGGAATAAAGAACAACGAGAGCGGAGTTTACAGTTTTGTAAAGAAAAAGCAAAAAAAGCAACAAAGAAAAATATCCTATTTTTTACTTATTTCTACTCACCTCCTGTGGCATTTTTAAAGAAATTTTACTAATGTTTCCAAAGCAACTGGATCTTGTAAATAATAATAAAAACTATATTTCCCATGTACCTTTGCATGACACATAAAAGCATCTGGATCAATGATTTGCACTCAGATATATTGATTAGGTAACAATGCTTTCAGCGCACTGGTGCATGCATGTTCTTTGTTTTTTTCACTCAGATTACAAACCTACTGTGACAGAATAGGGATCATAATCTCCACACTTTGCACTGGATTGTGCGTTAAACCCTACCTGAAGATCTCCTTGAGCAGTTTGACCTGGTTGTCTGGATATTTCTTTGCATTCTTCTCCTCTAAAAACGCTCTGGCATAAGCCATAGGCCCAGCATTCACCTGCAATGGAAACAGCAAGTTAGCCAAAAATAAAGAAACCTCAATGAATTAAGGTGTCTGTAATCAAGAAGAACCCCTACCTTCACACTGACGCTACCCTGCAGCTTCAGCTGTAGCCGGATCATGTCCACCTCCTCCATGTTGCACAGCTGGTTGAGCTCAGAGACTTTGCGGGACATCTCATCAATGGCTACCTCGATCGGGTTCATTGATGTGCTCTGCTGCTCCACCACCTGGATCCGCTTCTTCAGGTAGGGGAAGCTGGAACTCGCTAAAGAGAACGATTGAACTGTTGTAAGGACAAAAAAAATGTACTTATAATTGTGACATTTTCTTCACAGGATTTTATATTTACTAGTCAGTATGGTGCGTCTCTTGCACTGTTCCTCCACATCTCCGTGTTTCTTTCCCGACAGAGTGAACGGCGTCTCAAACACAAAGCGGTTGATGTTGTGATGTCTCTCAAAATCTGTCCTTTTGTCCTGCTGTTCTTTCTCATCAAAGTAGGGCACGACGTACGTCACCTGAATGTAGGCAAACTTGGGGTCCAGGTCTTTAGGGTTCACCTGATTTTGAAAGAATGTTAAGAAAGCATTGATGATTATTTGAATGAAATGATACTTCCAGAAGAACAAAAAAAACAGCATTTCAGCAATAAGAGTAATGCAAGGCAAATCATGAATTTCTTTGTTAACTACCTTATTTGAGTCCTGGATCATCTTGACATTATCAGCTCCAAACTTGTCTGAGTAGAGTTTGAGTAATCTCTGAGAGATTTCTGAAAGCCCTGTCAGCTTCGGCTCTTTGTATATGAACTCTTTGCTCTCCTCCTCCTCAAAGAAACCCTGTGAGAACACACACACACACACACACAGCCACACACTAATGAACAGAGTATTTTGTATGTGCCGTATTGGAGTTTTTATGTGCTTCTACAACACACTGTACACATGTCAGCCTGATTTTATGTTTCCCCCTGGTGGTCACAGGCCATAATCAGTGTTAGAGCAACCCAGTCCGGACAGTGTGTCAAGTGTTAAGAGGTGGATGGGAGAGGTGGGAAGTCATTTTCAAAGCAGCATTGGAGTAAAGTGTCAAATGTGTATCTTCCTGTCCAAGATGGCTCTTTGACTTCTCAATGTTTAGGTGGGGAAACAACATCATCATTGGGAGATTATTAGGAGTAAAATGGACCACAGCAAGCTTGACACAAACCCCCCATCATGGGTATGAGCAGTCAGTGTTAATAGTAGTAGAAGGAGAAGAGAGGTAAACGTGGTTAGCTCTGAGGAGAATGGAAAAGCAAAGATATCCAAAACTTACCGCAATCTTGATTTAAAATATGATTAAAAAAAAAGAAAGGAAAGAGCAGACAGAAAAATTAAGGACACCGACTCAGTAAAATAAACCTGCTTTCCTTACCTTTCCATATCCAAGCCTCACTGACAAGACTGCAAGGTCTATCATTTCCCTCCATTATGTGAATACAGAGACCAATTAAAACCCCAGCTTTTTAAACTCTTTCTTCCCTCCAGGGCTCTGAAAGCCCTGCATTAAAACACCATCCCTTAATTAACCAATAGGGATCTGTGTCAGGGATCCATGTTCTAAAAAACAAAGCGCACAAATTAAAGATAAACTA